GGGGGGGGTTCATCTCTTCGTTAATTGTCTTCAGTGCAGCATCCAACCTCCAGCAGCAGTATTATGTAAACCACAGGCGCACGCATCCTTCATAGCTACTCTTACATAAAAGCTGAGGTGCATTAGTGTGTCACAGATGCGTTATGCAAAGAGCTTGCACGGATCGACGCCACAGGGCCAAACAGGTCATGTGGTCAGCGTGACGAGATCACCCCATCTGCACTGCCGCATTTCCCTCGGGGGACGGAGCGGCTGGCATCTTTGTGTCAGAGCTATAAATAGCGACAGATATTACATCACAGGAGTGTGTTATAAAGAAGTCAAGGGTGTGAGATGAATCCACAGAGGTAGATCGAGATCATGCAGAGTGATTGACAAAATGGGAATGATAATGTTAGCCGTCTTCTCAACCGTCATCGTTTGAATTGACATTCAAAGTCACAGGAGTTAAATTGCTCCCAAGGGAGGCGTAACACCAGCTAGAATTTATATATTTCAACACGTAAGGAAGGTTATTAAAAAATAGACATGCGGGGAATTCACACATACATATGACATGTTCTTTGAGTGACTGGCTCATTAATTGACTTTTCTGTTAGTCAGATGAATGGCACGGACTTGTTCTTATGCTAAAATGGATAGTGCGACATTAGATAGGTTTTGCTAAATGATCATCTTCTCTGGAAACACTTTACAACATCCACCGGATCCTTCTCACCTACAGGTCCGTTGAATGAATTTAGAGTTTGTTGAAGTAGAGTGGACCCCATTAATTGGTAGGAGACAGGAACCAACCCCTGCCGCGATTATGTGCAGATGATTCATAAGATGGCCGCAAGGAACTGAAAACGCAGCGACTCGTCAAGTAATTTTTTTGCACTAGCCAGAGCACTGAAACAACAAATAGATGAGTTTTACAGCAAATAACAGAGGGTGGATTCCCAAACCTAAAAATCTGTCAATTGGCAAATGACAAGAATGTTGAACCCTGGATGTCCAATGTTCACTGTAAATTGCGGTGAAAAAAAAACACAACCCCGAAACGCCCCTCCCCCTCCCCAATTGGTTTCAGTTCAGTTGATCATTTTCTGCTACTAGGAAGTAACCTGGGATCCTTTATTTACAAATATAAAGGAACATGTCTGTTCCATGGCATGCTTCAAATGTATGTGTGTGGTGACTGGAACTTTTTTTTTTCAGCAAGATTAGTCATGCCCATGAGAGTGCTGGTAGGTTGGGTGGAGGTGCTGCGGATGCATGCATACACGGATTGACTGCTGCATGAAACGGCACGTTATGTAATCAAGATTACAAAACGGTTGTAGCTGAGAGCGAACTTCTGCCTGTGTATACACACACACACATATACACACACACACACACACACACGCACATGCAGGCTGAGCAATAAAAAAAAAAAAAAATCGAATGTATTTCTGAACGAATGTTAGAGGGGTGTCCACTGAGCAAGATGACCAGGCCAGAAGGGTTTGTAATTATGGAAATGTTTGTCCAGACACTGGGGAGGAGAATGTCGTAAGTGTCTTTTAACAGGCGCTGTTATTATCTTCTGTGACCTTGATCTGCTCCACATTTACACAAAAACCAGGATGGAAACAGTTTTATTTACATGGCAACGGTGTTTTTTGGAGCAGAAAAGTGAAAATATTTGTAGGCGGTAGTCAGAGTGGGAGTTAGATGAAGCAGTTAGTGGATCCGCAATTGCGGAAATTTCAGTGAATTACGTTCTGAATCACAAACGCATTATACACAGTTTTTATGAATCACTGTGCCTCCTGTGGGTAAGTGGTAAACACGTCTCCGACACAGTTATGAGATTCAGGGTTTGAGTCTCGAGTATGTAATTCCTCCTTGTGCTCACATGGGTTTTCTCCGGGTACTCTGGCTTCCTCCTATAAATTGTCCTTAGGTGGGAGTGAGCATGAAAGCACTATATTGAATGAATAGAAGATCTGTGAGCAAGGCTTTCTGAATTTTGCCAGATCATGACATCAAAAGTCGACGAATAAAAATAATTACCATGCTGAGTTTCTCCATTCATGACTTGGCTGCTAGGCTCGGGGAAAATCTTATTTTCAAGCAACGACTGGACTACAGTACACAGAAATGCTATCATGTCGAAGCCAAGAGATAAGCAGAGCTGCTGTGTCGGAAGCGCAGATTAGCACAGCGTTATCAGCGTTAGATTCTGATAATCTGCATGGACTTGATTTGGTGAAGTGTTTTGATGTTTCGGGGAAGGAATTTGTATTTTAGCTGCATGTGCCACATACACAGATCTGCTCCACCAATTGACAAGTGTAATTTGGTGGCTTTGTGTTGAAGTGCTGCTTAAGTACCGTAAGTACGAAAATATAGTTGGTTCTTTTAGCGTCTTTTTGAGCACTTGGCAAAATGCATTTGGGTTTTTTTTTTTGTTTTGTTTTTGTTTTTTTGTTTTTTTTTTGGTGTTTTTTTTTGGGGGGGTGGGGGAGGAATTGGACATGGTAATGCATTGCCAGCCCCTGCAATGGAGGGGATGAGGTGAGCAGTGTTTCATTTTCATGAGACTACTTGCACGTGTTTTGGTCGTTTACCATATTGTTGTCATGGGAATTGTGTGTGTATGTGCAATGATCTAGTAATTGAGTAATCGTTTGTGAACTATTATTCTATAAGGCACGATACTAGAGTGAAAACAGGAGTTCAGAACATACCAAGCTTCATGAGCCCATTCAAAACAGCAATTTTGATTTTCCTCATAATCCATAAAGAACGTGCTCAAATGTCCATCCATATCTCAGACAACTCTTAAACTGCCTGCTCATGGCCAGGAAATGTTCTCACACACACACACACACACACACACACACACTTCACTTAAGTAATCACGTTGGAGGGAGAAAAAAAGAACTCCCACAGCTTCTGGGAACATTGTGAGCACGGTTATGTAATGTTCAAGACTTGGTGATACATTTAATTAAAGCGCCCAGACTCACGAAGACAGCCTCTTATTACACTAAAGGGGGGTTTGAAAAGTTGGAGGAGCCTTACTCATTCTCCTGCTCTTAATCTTGTGTGTGTGGTGGTTGTGGGGGGGTATATGATAGACAGAGTGTGAGGGAGAGCATGGGTGTGTATGAGAGTAGGTGGGAGGGGTGAGTGAGAGAGAGATTGTAAGTGTGAGAGAGACTGTGTGTGAGCTTGTGTATGAGAGTGTATAGAAGTGGGCCAGCTATTTATTTATGAGCAAGCGTTAGTGTGAATGAGAGAATGCATATATGTATATCAGAGACTCATGTGAGAGTGCGTATGATGGCGTGAGAGAGCATTTGTATATGTGTGCAAGTCTTTGTGACGCCGTGTGTAGGAGTGTGAGCGTTTTTGTGAGTGAGTGCATGTGAGTGTTGGAGTGGGAGTTTTTGTGAGTGTGTGTGTGTATAAATGAATGCGAGTGTGTTTTTGGAAGTGGGAGAGTGCCTGTGAGAAACTCTTGTGAGAGTAAATTTAAGAGCGTGTATGTGTGAGTGACTTGTAGAAGAGTGTAGGTTGGAAGGAGTGCTGATCAGTGTGTGATTTTGTGTAGGTTGGAACGGGTTTTATCGAGCTTTGCTAATCCCTTTCAGGCTTTTAGTACTAATCCATTTCCATTTAGCTTCTCTTCAGTCTTCCTCGGCCCACAAACTTGTCTGAGTTTTTGCAGGATGACATCATCACATTTGGTATCGCTGCGAGAGAAAGACTCACAAACACGCACGCACGCTAAACTGTCCCCGATGAGTCTTTTTGACATCGGTAGCACACGCCCATGCGTTGTGTGATCCTCCCCGGGATGCGCCAACAGCACAAGCATTATCTTTTCAAACTCAGTCAACTTCATCAGTTAACTTTTTTCATTATGTAAGTAGTTGGTTATGAATTATAATTAAATGAAATATAACAATACCTTTTATGACCCCGAGCTATTCAACGAACACTCTTGGTGACCTGGCTTGCATCAGTCTCTTTTAAAGGTCACATACGCCCCGCCAAAATTGGTGATGGACCAACATTTATGTGTGTAATGTAGCTGACCGTGGCTTGAGTCTCCGCAAAGTTTGAAATTTCATATTGACAGAGCTTGAAAAGTGCTTATTTATATTTGATCCTTTGTTTGTGTGTGTGTGTGTGTGTGTGTGTGTGTGTGTGTGTGTGTGTGTGTGTGTGTGTGTGTGTGTGTGTGTGTGTGTGTGTGTGTGCACGCACACGCTTGTGTGAGAGTGCAGTGACTTCCTCCTACCCCACCAACCCCAAGAATGTGCAAACCCGTTTGCTTCTGATTTGTGTCTCTGCGTCATTTGGAAAAGTAATGACAAGCAGGCTATGATTTCATCCATCTTTCCCCTAAAGTCTGTTCCAGTGCTGGCAGCCATCTTGTCCGCAGACCGGAAAAATTTGGTGCAATTGGCTTAGAATCAAAATTTACGAGAAAACCACTGATTTATTTTTAATCCAAAACACTGAGAAAGCACATGTCACAAGGCGGAATGAGGTCATGCGCCTCTGCTGCGCATCATTTGATTGGTACTTCGTGTTGTTGTTGTTAATGGCTGGTAACAGGTTGGTTTGTGTTTGTTTGTTTATTTGTTTGTTTGTTTGTTGTGCACACAGGGGCCTGGCTCCTCAGAACAAACCAGAACTCCAGAAGGTTCTGGAGAAGAGGAAGAGGGAGCAAGTCCTCAAGGCTCAGAAGGAAGAGCAGGAGGCACACAAGAAGAGGAGCGACTTGGAGATTGAACTCATGAAAAGACAACAGAAATTGGAGCAGGTAACAACTCCAGGCATTTAAAAAAAAAAACATACAGCGATACATATTGATATTGAACTATCACCCTGCCCTACCATGATACAAATTTCAAGCTTATCGCCCAGCCCAATCATCAATAAATAAAAGCAGTCAAGTACAAGCTTCTTTTTTCTAAATTAAATGAAAATTATGACTATGCTATGAAGCCAGTTTTTAGATGGCATGCTATTGATTTCAGCATCAAAAGAGCACATCTGTGCTTTTAATCTGAGACCAAGTAAGTCGAATAATTAGCCAGTCCCTCAAGGATCATGTTAACTACAGTCGATTGGAATTTTGGAATAAACTTCCTCTTTGACATCGAAATTGGAGCCAGCAGTCCATATAACATCTTCTTTTCGACTGGTTCGTCTTGACACATTCTATTTCGTAATTCAAGCCAATTTGTTTTCTCAATTTCTCTGCCTTGGTCAAATGATATGCAATGGTTGCTCAGTGATGCAATTAAGTTTTTTCCAGCCCAGTACATATGACATCATCGTGAAAAGCTCTTCTGTATAATATGCATGTTAAATTGTTGCACTGGTCCCGCATTTAATTAAACGTACGTGTCTTTGCAGCTGGAGCTGGAGCAACAGAAGAACGAGGAGGAGCAGGAGAACACTCCTGAATTTGTAAAAATGAAGAGCAACCTGCGCCGGACCAAGCAGGAGACGGACGGCGAGGAGAGAACCACCTAGATGTCACCAGATTGTGTGTGTGGTGACCTAACTACAGTCCAAAATGAACTTCCTGGCTGCCCGTACGACCTCACAGTTCCTATCCCACAGTGAGGAGAGACTTTTACAGACTAAAGACCCCCTCTTGCCTGCCCGCCAAGGACCCCTAACCCATTGCACACACACACACACACACACACACACACACACACACACACAGTTTTCTTTCCTTGTTTTCACTCCTTTCTCCACACACCACGCTGTCATGTCACGGTGTCTTGTTTTTTTTTTTTTTTTGCATCTTTGGGGGGTTTGTGCTCTCACCTCACAGAATCACGGGATGGAAAAGTGGACACTGGATGAACTCTACAAGCTGTGTAATTGTGAAAAAAGCCGAGCAAAATGTGTTTTTCTTTATTTATGTTTGTAGCTTTTTAACCCGCTTCTAGAGGAAAGGCTGGGCTGGGGCTGGGGGTCGAGATTGGGGAACACTTTTATTAGTCGTTTTGTGTATTTTTAGTTTGTTTTACTGCATTTTTAGTTTGTGGAGCCAGAACGGGACAAAGGGAGTTATTTTGTTATTTCAAAAAACATGCCACTTTCACAGCTAATGAAAATTTGAGCAATAGAACTCTCCCAGGGCACGAGAGTGAAATTTTCTTTATATATCCTGTTGTTTTGTATTAATAAAAGTGTTAAATACATTGTGTAATGTTTTTAGTGTACTCCAGAGAGTAAAATCTTTCCATTTCAGTGGATTTTTGATTACTGTGTTTTACTTCTGTCAAGTACAATGTACAGTTTATCTCAATATTAAGGCAAGGTGAGGTCGATTTACGTTGTGTTTGGGGACCAAATTTAAGAACCTCTGGGAGCGACATATTTTTGCTCATGCTCATGTTTTGAATAAAGATAAGGTCATAGGGCCCTCTAGTGGGTTTGTAAGGTACTGTTTAGGGAATGTCCATCCATCCATTTTCTGCACCGTTTATCCAACTGATTTAGCAGGCTAACTGGCTCTGGAAACGACGGTTATGTGACGTCTACGGATGGTTTTCGTGCCCAGTGCTTGGGGTAGTTGTGGAAATCATACGTTATGGCTGTGGTGAAGTGCTGGGCGGTGGCCGAAGGTATCCCGGGTAAACGGCAAACAAAACAAAAATGAAACTAAAGTTCATTACCGAGTACGTATACACGTTATGTGATTGAGGTGCACAAAGAAGGGTGTAGTGGACATTATCCTGATTGATTAAAGAAAGGTTTGAAATTTATTTTGAAAGCTTTATAACTGTGAATGGAATTAAAAATAATTATAATCATCCATTCATTTTCTAATCTTATTCTCTTGAGTGTCGCGAGCGTGCTGGAGCCTATCCCAGCTGTATTCGGGCAGTTGGGGGTGGGGGGGGGGGGTACACCCTAAACTTGTTTTAAAAACGTAACAAGCCTAATTTGACAAAATTAGTTCAAACCACATACATGGTATCTATTTTCTAATGTAGGGAGTACAGGTATAATTTAGTCAGAAAAATAGACAAAAAAAGTGAAGATACCTGGCAAATCGAATTAGTGTAGCCCTTTACTTTAAAAAGTAATAGCATGTAAACATTTGTTGGTGGTGTTTTTGTTTTTTTGGGGCGGGGGTAGTCACCGGAAGGACCTGTAATATATAAAAGTTAAGAAATAGCTGCATCGCTCGTTGAGAGAAAAAACTGTTTTACATTTATTTAAAATAAAAATATCATTTGTATTTGTCACAAACGGCTTGTTTTCCCCAATGATTTATGTGTTACTCGTGATCAGCAGGTGGCGCTAATAAATCCCTGCGAGTATTTGCCCACTTATGTCACGTTTAGATCATCCGAAGAAGAAAGATGTCCGTCTGTCGACTTCTCCGCTGCTGCGGTTTTTCCAACTTTTCCCCACTTTGGCCTTTACTAGCACGCTCGGAACTGCATTCGTCGAATCGTTTTTCTTTCTTCCTACGAGGCATTTCGTCGTCGAGCCGGTTGTCAGCAGGTAATACTTCGCCGGCCGGTAAGGTCTTTTGTGTCCTTTGCGTGTTAGCTAACACATTGGTTAGCCATTAGCTCAAGTAAAGGACGTACGAGCGAACTATTTTTACGCGCCGTTTGTATTTTTTTTAAAAAATGTTTTTTTTTTCCCCCCCTGTCGTTCAGCACTTAAATTCACAGACAAGCACGAATGGATTCGGGTAGAAGACAATGGAATCGGAACTGTCGGTATCAGCAACTTTGCTCAGGTACATTTAGTCCTCTTGAACGAGCGAATCAGTCAAAATATAGTCACCAACGATTAACCATTTGGGTCAACGCCAAATCTTGCATGCAGGAGGCCCTGGGAGATGTGGTTTACTGTGGACTACCGGAAGTGGGGACGCAGCTGTCTCAACAAGGTAACCCATATTTATCTAAGGGCCTTTCTTGTAAAAGTATTTTATTTGTCCATCTCTGATGTCTCAGATGAATTTGGAGCTCTGGAAAGTGTCAAGGCTGCTAGTGAGCTTTTCTCTCCGTTGACTGGGGAGGTCGTGGAGGTTAACGCACTGCTGGCTGACAAACCAGGCCTGGTCAACAAATCTTGCTACAAAGACGGTGAGCAAAAAGTGTTGGTTTCTAAAATTCAATCGATATGCAACCTGGTCAGGAAGCATCTCGGAAAATGTTAAACCAGGACAACAGTTCCACTGATCACCATGAAACTGGTTACACATGTCTATCATAACAGGACACATGGAAAAGTTTCAAGGACATAAACCAGAATTTTGGTTCATCAGCATCACTGAAAAAGGTTACATGCTAATTTGCAGTTGGATCCTGTCCTGCTACCTACACCCTTTTTTTTGTGTTCCAAATTGCGCATCGGAATTTAAAATTCAGTATAAATGTTTCAGAAATAACTAAAATAACAATGATAAAGGTTAACTGATTATGCCGACTTTGGAGTTATCATTAATTGTCACAATAAAACAAAAATGTTATTTTACCCAAAGTTATGCTTATGACTCGCAAAATTAAATAATGATTTTGTCACGGTTTCTTTTTTTTTTCTTCCCCAGAGTTGTATGTAATTTTGAACAGAAAAAGCGCAAATGGTTCATCTGTTTTTTTGTTATGCATTTTAATTGAATTTTAAACTTGCATTTATGTATATTTCTTTAACTTGTATGGCTTATTAGCCATTTTGACCAGGCAGTTACAACAGCCCAGTATGGTAGAACATGCATGAACACTTTTGGTGAATCAGGTGTATGTGTGTGTGTGTTGGCTAAGGAGTAAAAGATTCTGTTAGTGGGCTATGATTGACAAGAATCTAGCAAGCAGGTGATCTAACCACTTAATGGCTGATTGCCGTTCAACACAGGTTGGTTAATGAAGATGACGATTGCCAAGCCTTCCGAGCTGGACTCTCTGATGGACGAGGCGGCCTATGAGCGATACATCCGCTCCATAGAGGACTAAAACCAGTCCGTTCCCTCTATCCTCCTCATATAAACACCTGGCAGGGTGCTCTGTCAGTGTTGTGCAAATGTGAAGAATAGCGGCTGAGAAAGGCTCACTTACTCAAAGGGACCATCCAAAGTTGAGTTCTTACAGCCTCAAAAAGCCCAAAAATGAAAAGTGACGCTCAAGTCAGCCTGTTTTTTCCCCTTGATATTTCAGTTGAAGCAGGCACAAGCGTCCTGGGCAAGAAAAGCACTTTGAATTTGTGTGAACACTGTGGACAACTGTACAATAAACCTCATGATTGACATTTTTTTCCTGAATATTTTCACTAAGTTGTTTCCCTAGAGTTTTTTTTACAAGAACCCTTCTTTGAATTGCATTTTCACTCTATTTGCCGCCATTTTAACATTGCACGACAGGGTCCAAGTGGCCAATTCCAATTAAGTTAGGTTTGCTAGATTTTTGTTTTCCCTCTCTTTGCTGCAAGCAGAAATTTGACTAACAAGTGAGCTACAGGCATTCTACCACTAGATGTCAACAGTCAATCATACAAACCCGAGCCACTGCAAGGTATGTTGTGCACTGATTAATTCATTTTTTTCTCTCACTATTAATATTGTCAATTAAAAACTTTCCTCGTGACATTTTTTTTAACCGAGTCTAAGTTGATTTTTTTTCTTTTTTGGGGGGGGGATATCCATCATTACCTGATCTGATAACCCAAACAATCCATTCATAAGGAAAATATGTGGACATATTCATTGTATCAAATGCCTTTTTTAATTTGAATAAAAGTATCCGAGCATGATACCTTTTCATTACTGCCAAGTGCAGCAGTAATTCGAGCCAAATAAAATATTTTTCGAGCCTATTAGTGGTGGGGCACGAAATAACGAAAATTACATTTAAACACTTAAATAAATCTAATTGAAGTCTCTGTAAGTATCCTTAGTGCAGTAACAAAATTTCATGGTGTAATATGAATCTCTGGTTATATTGAGCATTGTCTTTGCATCTCCTCATTATTTTGTCACTTTTAAAGGTTTCAAAAAAAAAAGTGAGGCAGAGGAAAGAGAAAAAAATGGTTTAATGCTATCACAAAAAAGCTTTTCATAAATATTGCAAAAAGAATCCCAATTTTTTTTCTGTGAAAAGGGGCATTTCAGGCTGGAAACAATCAGAAAAATAAGACTGAGATATTCGGAAGGGACTGAACCAGGTGCTTGTGGCTTTGGATCACCTGTGTGTCGTAAGAACAGTACCGCTTGGTAGGATAGAGAACCGGTCATTCGTGTTTGTGGAGCGTCTGGCTCTTCCCTGCGTTGGGAGTCGTTTGGGCGGGAGCCCCTCCATGCGGCGATGGTCGCTCTCCAGCCTCTCTCTTCTCTGGGCTCCCTCGTGCAAGACGCTGGCTGTGAAGTCTCGCTCGTTGAGGAACGCCACAGTCTCGTCCCTCTTGCGGCTGACGTAACCCTTGAGGACGGCGTTGTAAGGATTGGTGGCGGCATCCATGTCCGGGTCATCCATCTGGTGTTTGAATTCCATACGTGTGATGACTGGAAGGAGGAATTGTTTTCCTCCAGTTGGCTGAGCTAAGCCCAGGGCCTCAGAGACCAAGCGGGGCGGCAGAGGCACCAGGTCGCAGCCCGAGCGTGTGTCCACGTATTCTGCGTGTTGTCTTCGCACCAGGGCGACGTCCTGAAGAGAGCGACTCCGCCTCTCCTCCAGGTTTGTAACTATTCTCTCTGGGTATGTTTGGCCCAGCACCACGCCTGAGTAAAGACAGACAGGGCAGAAGACGTTGATAATTAGATGGGAATGTAACAACAGCACTGAATTACGGTGCATCTGGTAGCATTCCATGTTTAGGGATGGTTTAGCCTGATTGCAAATTAGGGTTGCAGAATTCTGTGAATTTTCAAAATTGCAAACTTTCCATAGGCATAACCAGCAAGGAGAGCTACTATTCCACATTTTATGGTTTGATCTGTGTTGATTGTGGTTCCAAAAAGTTTCTTAAAATAATCAAAATTGTCAGCAGTTTTTACATTGAAGCGGTCAGTCGTAAATTGTACTTTGTTTACTTAAGCCGCATCGCTCGATTTGCGGTGGACCTTACCCGCACGTCGTAGCATGGACGTCGGGCATTTCCACGGTTTGTGAATGAGCTCGTCAGGCAGCTCTGCAATTTCAGGACACCATTTCCTCACATAACTGCCATTCGGGTCGCATGTCATGGCGGCATCAACGGGATGCATGACAAAGTTCCAGTGATCCAGACCGCACATGCCGCCATTCTGCCACATCATGGCGTCGATGGCAACATCTGCGTCCACCAGTGTGTCCTACACGCATACGTAGATGTTCATTACTGTTTAAAATGGTACTCAGACGTTGAGTCACACATGTCTCACCTGAAACCAGCGATAGCCTTCCTGCCAGGGCAGATGCAGGTACGCTATGAGGAAAGAAGCCACCACGTGTCTGGTGTAGTTGTTCATCCAGCCCGTCAGCCACAGCTGCCTCATGGCTGCATCCACCAGAGGGTAGCCTGTGCGCCCTCGCTGCCAGGCCTTGAGATGATTGCGATTGCTGCTCCACCGCAGTTCCTACAAACACCAAATAAAGGTTGGGAAACACTACCCTCGATCACATGAGTGCAAAACTATATTGCAAACCTTGTACGGGGGCCTGAGGGATTCCCAGGGAAGGTCAGGAAACAACGTGAGCTGCCAGTACGCCAAATCCCTCCATGCCAGTTTGCGTTGGAATTTTGCAGGTCGACAGCGCGCCCCCTTGGCGTCCCATAAGAGCCAGCGAGGGCTGAGCTGACCAAAGTGGAGATATGGCGATAGAGTGCTGGTGTTGGGGGCATCAGCCCTGCCCGACTCTTTGTCATATCTGTACACACCTGGGAAGTGAATGGAATGGAGGTGTATTTAATGACGTCGGTCTTTAAATCTACATACAGTATGTGAGAGCATACATTTGAATGGGGGTCTTTTAGGTTAGAAATGACACGACAATGTTTATGTACAAAGTGTCTCACCATCATGAAGAAAAGCTTCTAGCCTGGCATGGGCGCCCTCTTCACTGAAATCCCACGACTTGCAAATGTTCTCTGCCCAATCAATCTAGAAGTCAAGAATCATATTTCACGACAGGATTTTGTCATGATTTTAAATGTTGTTCTGCTGTGACTACTAACCGTGGTGCCATCCTTCCTGCGTGGCATGCGTGCCAGGCCCAGCGTGTCCAAAGGGATGCCCTGAGGCCAGCTGGAAGGTACAGGGAGCGACATGGGTGGATCCAGTGGAGCACCAAATGCGGTGCCTGCTGGGTTCTGTCTGCAGCAGCTCATGAAGTGAGACACAGATCCGATTCCTTCCAAACAAAAGAAGTGAACATAATTATTTCAATTGCTGTAAATCCTGATGTTAAAAGCGTGCTGTCAGGATCTGGAAGCTGCTTAACAGTTCAGAGCTCTTATTTTGGAATGACAGGAAGTGGATCATTCAGGAAGAGGAAGTGACCAACCGAGAAATGGATTAAAGAATGTCTGTGTCTATTTCATAGTTACAGTATCTATTGTAAACTTAAGAACTTATTGTAATTATTGCTTGAGGTTGTTGTTTTTTTATCAGTGGCAATGTTATTTTTTGTGTTCATCCCCCAACAAACACTTCAAGTCAATTTGACTTTGAAGAGGAAAAGCTGCCGTCTGACTATCACCTATATTCCCTGCTGTTGTTGGCCATTTTCTTGACTCAAGACAGACAAAACTTTCTGAACAGTGTTTGACGCACCTCTGAGTCCAACACCCTCCGTGCTGACAGAGTAAGGGTCTCTAGTACAGTACGAGTGGAACATCTTGCATCGGACCCCGTCTTTTTGCAGCCTTGACACCACCTCGTCATCCCGTTCCTTCAGCCAGGGCTCGTAGAGGGCGTTGGCCAGCACCGTTCGGGCCCCAGTCTCCCTCACCAGCTCTTTGAGCGTACGCAGAGTGCTGGATCCGTTCACCTCCAGGAAGACCAGATGACTGCCGATACGCTCCAGAGATGAACGAAAGGAGGACAGCGCTTGATGAAGCCAGTATTTACCTGCCACAAGGGGATAGACAGAATGAGCTGACAGAGATAATTTCGTTGAATGGGCATTAAGGCCTTCAAATAAAACCTTTACAATTTGTATTTCCCCACATAAATCATTTATGGTTTTATTTGATTTGAACTACGGCAGCAACGAAAAAAAAACTCAATAAAATTGTCCTGAGCTATTGACATTTTGAAAAAGGATTGGGGGGGGAAAAAAAAAACAATAGGCGCCAGGGTACTTCTGGGAAGGTCTAGCATGTGCGAGTACTGCTGATCTTTACTGAAAAGGATCGGAAGTAAATCTCAATTGGGTTTGCAGATGATGTTTTCTCACAGCTATATATAAAATGTTTGACTGGGTTGTCTTTGAATAATTTATCAAAACATTTTCGTTCGCCTCCTGGTAGACCGCAGCCTGCTATTTCAGTGTCAGAAGAGCGCATCAGTGCCATTCATCGGAACAACAACAAAAAGTGAATGATTTAGTCAGTTCCTCTGTGATTATATTGACTACACCTGAATTATACATACAGTACATAAAGATATATATTTTAATCAATTTAACTGTTGGAATATAAATGACAGCCAACGTTCACAATGAGAATAGTTTAACTTTTGCTACCTGAGAGTATATGTCATGTCTTGATGAAAAGATCTAGGAACTTGAATTTTCTGATAAGACTCAATCACGCATGTCTAAATATGTCCAACTTACAAGCTCCTCCCATAGCCACAGTCATTCCAGGCCCCTCTTCCTCTTTGGGGCTCCAGATGAATACAGGTATGACGGGGGCCCCCAACTCCAGGGAGCCGACAAGAGCAGGGTTGTCACATAGTCTCAAGTCCCTGCGGACCCAAAGCAGCACCGGTGCGGCCCCCGATGGAGAGTCAGGCAAACCAACGACATGCTGGGCTGCTGCTTTCCGACGCTGACGTCTGCTTTTGGAATGATTTGTTTTCTCACACTGGTCTTCCATCATGTCACTTTTTGAACCCATGTCCTGTTTGGCACTCACAGTCTGACATGTACCAGACATGTTCAGAAATGTTTCTTGCTGATGTGCAGGTTCTGGGGTTGTACCTCCTCCTTCCTTGGAGTGTCCACTTTGATTGGATACCCCATCATATTTCTGAAGCCGTGTTCTTGGGTGAACTTGCGTTTCAAGAAGAGACAGGGTCACTGCTAGTTCCAACTCATCGTCTTCAGCCTGCCATAAAAAAAATATCAGCGGTAACTATCAATTTTTCCCCCAGCAGTCTATTCACTTCACTGTCTTCAGTACTTAGTGATTTTTTTTTAATGTGCCATCGGTGTCAGCTTCTATTCTAATCTTCCCAGGTCCTTCAAAATTAACAGTGCTGGCCCATGTAACCTCAACTACATTGACAATGGGATTATTTCTTTCACCAATTACTAATATTATTATTATTTTTAAATCTGTATAAAATGTTTCAAGTAAGTAAAATTCTGAAATTACTTGAACTAATTCATAATAATTGTGTTATGTTGGGTTGTTGTTTTTTTTTTTTTTTACAAACCATAAATAATAGTTCGGTCACCGAAAGAACACTTAATAGCCTAAACACTTTAAACACTGACTTTGACTGAGATTGAATGTACATTTACAGATGCTTGTGAGTGGAGACGATTTGTTGGTGAAAAATACTACTTTAGCGGTATTTGGGGAAAATGTATGATTAGAAGGACGAACGAGATGCCTTGTTAAACAATTACAAAAAAATAAACTCCCGATTTAAAAATATGTATAGTTTCAGCGTCGTAATGATTCGTTGAACATCCAAGCATAACATTACAGACCTTCGTGAAATATTCCTCGTAGATGGAGACGAGGGTGGAGTGCAAGAACCGGTTGGCCGACGACAGAGGCTGAACGGCGGGCAGAAACCGGGCGCGGGTCTCCTGGTGACCCAAGATGGACAGGCACATCGCGAAGAATCCCTCCGGATCCTCCCGACCCAGCAGCACTTCTCTTAGGAGCCTTCTCACCACGGCCAGCTCGCCGTCTTCTTCTCCAGTTTGAGGCATCGCCAAAAGAAAGGTGATTGTGAAGTCTTTTTAAGTCACTTTCTTACGTCCTACCCCGAAAAGCATGCACCACGTGTGCAGCTTTAAGCACACAATCGTTGTTACCGAACAGCTGACGGCTCTTACACAAGACTTAAGTTTTGTAACCGCGGTCATTATTTTTTGTAATGAAGTAACATGACCACTAAGGGGAGCTCAAGCCTCAAAAGCCAGACAGGCGTTTTCTGTCACCACTCACCAGCATCACCACTTTGAGTAAGACTCTCAGAATTCATGTGTGATGAATTATCCACTCTGTTCTCCCCGTTCATTAACATAACAGAGTCATTGCATTACTTGGGCCACCCCTGAACCAATCTATTTCTATGTGGGGGAAAAAATGGATCAATGACATGGGTGCCGACTAACTAAATGTGATCAAACCACCACCCTTGTTTTCATTTGAAACACCACCTTCATCTTGCTTTTCAAGTGCACCCCTGTGATGTGAGACTGGGAAAAAAAAAAACAAAAGGCATCAGACGCAGTAACAAGAGGTGAATTTTTAATCATTCACTATGCACTGGGATTGATTTTAATGAGACTGTGCACACGCTTTTGAATATGCACAGCAGGGAACGTGCGGTTCAGACTCCTGTGTTGCAAACTCTGAAATTCCGGGTAAAGGGATCACTCATTGTCTTGTTTGTTGACACTAAAATATGCTCAAATGTTCCAGAAGCGTATGACTCATTGGCCAGGGCCGCATGCAATCCATCCATATTGTTCAGTATATGAAAAGGAGTGTGTTGAAAGCGGCGGTACGCACAGAGAGTCAGAGGGAGAGCGAATGAGATTGAGAGAGAGGGAGAATCAATAGTGTTTAGACAGAGAAGTGGAGTCTAAGTGTGTGATCAATAGAGAGCAGAGAGGAGAGATTAGCTGCTTTTCTCTCTCAAACTAACACTGACAAATTGGTGAATTGGTGTATCGGCCCTTGGGCTAAATGGATTGACCCGCTGTTTCCATGTTCTGCCGTGTACTGTCAATAAAGATCTCTGTTCTGTTCATTGAGGCACTCGGCGAAGGGACGGGACGAAGCATTGGAAGAAAGGGGAGTCGGTGAAGATCGGTGAAGGCCAGTAAAAGTTGAATGCAAGGGAAGTGGAGGCACACACTTAAAACTCATTCAGTACCAGCCAATTCTAGACCAAGTCTGAAAAGACATATAAAAATGTCTTTGGGAGTGAATGAGTTAATTAAGAAACCTTTTTTGAGTGACTGAGACGGCCAGTTGCCCTTGATTCAACTTTGTGCATTTGACAACTCACATTTGTAAACAAAGACATTTTTATAATTTTTTTGACTGGCGCTGACTTGGACTGAAATGATGACAAAAACTTGTGTTCGGGATTGAAATGCCAAACCTCCATTAAAAGGTTGTGGGAGGCATTTTCTCGCATATTGTCTCAAACGTACAAAATTTGGGTGTTTTTTGAGTAATTTAGGAAAACATAATGGCTAGCCTGCTAGTAGCCAGTAGTGCCATATCAGTTTCACTGTCAAAAGAGCCATTATTCCAAGCGACAGAAAATTAAATTATGTCGCCGGTCCTTCAATGATCATGTTAACTATGAAATTCCACCATGTTCTATTTTATTTTATTTTTGTAATAAACTTACCTTGAATTGTAGATTACGTCTCCCTTTGTCTCTCTTCAAAGCGGTTTACCCCATGTAACAAACGACGGTGGTGGGGAAGAAATGCTAAAATCATCTAAGTCACATATGTCAAAGTGCCGGCCCGCGGGCCAAATCCGGCCCGCGAGAATGTTTTCAGTGGCCCCTGGGATGATATTGATTTATTTATCTAAGTCATTTCCTTTGTTTTCTCAATAATCCTGCCTTGGTCTAATTGCATGAGAGGATTTGTTTACTAGTAGAAAGCTCCGTCTTATGCCACCTAGAATTGTGTGGAACTAATGTCATGGGGAAAAAGTACAATTGCAGAAGACACTTTTAGGTGACAGAGCACGAGTGACCTGAAGATAGCAAATTGGTTGCAAAGAATTGGTGGCTATCTGACGTTGAAAATAAGGACAAAAACTTGGGATTCGCTTCCACATGCTAGGTATGGGTTCATCATTGTAAATTTAAGTTGAGTGAATGCCGAGAAACACTAAAACTTCAACCAAGCACCAGGAAAACCCAAGGTCAAGCAATCATGGGCCTTCTTAGTTAGATAAGAGGTGAGCAGACCATTTACCATACCTAGATTATAAAACAAACAAACAGCATCTGTCGCCAAGAGAACCACTCAATGGAAGAAAAATGTCATGAAAAATGGCATTTGTATGCTAGCTTTTAGGCTACATCTGAATTAATTAGCAGGTCACTCAATAATCACGTTAACAATGTCTTGAGTTTTTACCAAGTCTATTTTTGAATCAGCTTACCTGTACTGGCAGGTATTCCTTCATGTAACATGTTTTTGTTGACTGACACTTGACAAATTTAAATTAATAGCGATTGAGAAAGCTAACCAATCAGAGGTATGTTTCCTTGTTTATTTGAAACTTCCCATATCACAGCCCCAGAAGAAAATGATGCATTCAAGCAATTTACCCAGTTCTCTCAAAAGGCTAAGCCTTGGTCAAGTGACTTGGTCGGGATTGTTTACTAATGTTGTCATTGGGGAGCGCATCTGCTTTTGTCAATTGGAAGAATTTGTTGCATCATGGTGAATTGTTGCGTTACAGAAGAATGTCTGTCCAAAGTCAAACACAATCCATTCTGTGAGGATGCTCAACAACTGATTTGCTTTCCATTAAAAAACAAATTCCCCTTCAAGATTCATTTCAGAGTCTCGAAGTTTCTCCACCACATCAAATTACCTTGAAGCCAGTAATGTACAAGATGTCCTCAGTTCCGTTCCTATGGCTGAAAAATACCACCAATTTGTATCATTTTGCTGACATTTAACTGTGGTGTTCGTTCATTGCATTTGATAGAAGTGACCAAAAAGTCATTCATGCTAACGTTAGCTTGGTGCGTCATTGTACTCCACCATATCCACTTTGCTGCTAACAGCCCTCAATCTCCTGTCTAATAAAAACATTGTCTCCGAAAAGTCTTAATTAAATCAAATGTTTGGATAATAAACACTTCCAGGGCCAAAAATATGGAATGCTAATGTACCTATGGAGCACCTAAAATGGCTGAAGGGAGTTCCCCAAACGTTCCAAAATAATACATTCTAGAGCTGTCATTTCTATAAACTACCATAAAACTGCAATATACTGGCCCATGCCGACTAAATACCCATCATATTTTTGGGCTACTGTTCGACCCCTAACACCCTACCAATAGCCCAGGTACACGCAAAGCTTAGCTCTCGTTAAAACAACAGCGCACTCACACGCACGTCCTCGTGAACGCTGCTCCAAAACCATAACATCTCGAGGAAAATTAATGGAAAGACAGATTAAAAAGTAAGTGAGAAGAAACGGGCCACTGGTGTAGCCATTTGCTACTCATAAATCATTGTGACACACCTACGTGCATGTAGAAACACGCATGGACACCCTCGCACACAAACATGCAGAGACTCACACGTAAACACGCACATGTACTGTAATTAACCACAGGCTATTTACTCTCTCCTGCTGTAAATTAGACATGCAGACACAGTTATTACATTAGAGGGATCTGCCATGCAGAATACGAACAGGAGAAGGAGGATGGGGTTGTCGTACACACAACAAGCAGTTCGTACACACGCAAACATAAACACGCACGCACACAACAAGAACGAAGGCATGGAAGAATCATAGACTTGACGGGAGCGAAAATGAAGCCGCAGCCCAGAGAATGGGGGCCCCCAGCTCTTTGTTCCCTGCTGCATTTCATTATCTGAAACGCCAGCCAACACATACGATGCACCTCCCCCCTTCCCTAAAGCTGTCTGCTTCCACTAAACACGCGCGCGCACACACACACATACACACACACACACACACACACACACACACACACACACACACACACACACCGATCCCCCTTGCCCCCCACCCCCCACTCCCAAAAAAGCCAAAAGAAAATACAGATACTGCGTCAGAGCCCTTCTCTGGTATCTGCGTACTGTGTGGTCATCCTGAGCACATTGCTTTTAACCTCAAAAGCAATTTGCCCATTCCAAGTCGTAACAACAGTAGATGAGAACTTGATTAAAGCAAGTGTCGATATTCTCGTCTCCAATTAGTTCCCGAAGTTCCCTTTTTTCCACCCTCGCTCCTCCTTCTATTGGTGTGTCCTCCGGTTCCCCTACCCCCACCTCCGTCCCACCATTTTCCCACGGTGATCGATAGCTCATTACAATCATTGACTGCGGCTCATCAGCACCTGTTAAGACGGGCCAAGACAGAAAGTAGGCGCATGTGGGAAGTGCGTGTCGTTCGATACACAGAAGAGATGGGCCGGCGGTGTGTCAGAGGTGAGCCGTGACATTTGAGCGGCTATTTTTCCCTCACACCTGCTTTGTGGACGCTGCACAGTCTGCTGCGTGCCGAGGGAAACATCTTAATATGCGGCTCACGAGGCTGCCGCGGTTTGTTGCTATGGTGATTGCCAAGGGAGCCTGAGTATTCAAGGTGTTTATTGTAGACGAGCGTAAGGCTCCTCATCGTCTAACAGGACACGCTTACCGTGCTGTGTTAGACCACACATTAACACGGAGGCGCAGAGGGACAAAGGGAAAACACGAGAACCCGCCGCAGTCAAGTGCGGGATGGGATGTTGAATAGATTAGCCGGTATTCATATTCCTGGAAGACGGACCTTGTTCAAACACCCGGTTGTTGGTTTAAAGCGTCTCTGCAGGGTTTGTTATGGGCGAGGACACGTTGAGCTTGACGAAAGCAAACACAGAAAAGAGAGAGCAACGCCAAGAGAAGACATCTAGACGCGAAGAATCAAAAGATTTGTGCAAAAGACAAAAACTAAACACGCAAGCGCCAGATCCCCAGAGATCCACCGTGGATTCATTCACAAGATGTGGCCGGAGACAAATTTGGTGCGCAAAAAGTGACATTTGAAGAAAAAGGGCTGCATCGGTTGAGTGAATACAAAGAAGGGCTGAAAAGAGAATTCCTCTCACCCTCATGCATAAATTACACACACCATTTACATATTCATTATGTTTTGTGTACTAATGAGAGTATTTGCGTAATGGCTTCACCACTACTGACAGCTTTTGTCTGATACAAGAGGAAAGGTGGGAAAAAAAGAAAAAGAAAGGAGCAAGGGTCATTTTAAGTAAAGTGGGCACAGTCAATTGTCCAGAATGGGTTTCATTGATAATCAGATCAATTGCGCGGCTGTCTGTACGTTTCCAAACTGCGCAGGGACACGTGAAGTGGAGCACATATGACGATGGGGGTCGGTCAAAGTTAATTAAAGCAACTGCAGCTAAACTACTAACTCAGGACCGGCTTCGTTCTTCTCATGTTGTCTCAGTGGGATAAGTAAGTGCTGCAGTAATTACACACAGCCCCGGCGAGGCAGACATTCCTTCAGGTGCCAAAAAGTCTCCCAAGCCACAAGTGGACCGCAAGTGGCAATCACGAAAGAATCCGTAAACAATGACAAGTTGGGCGCGCGCGCGCGTTTGCGCTGTTGAAACATGCCACATTTTAAAACACACCTACTAACGATCGCAAAGTGGATGAGGAAGAGAGAGGGATGTAAACGTAGTGACGGGGGAAGGGCGACGAAGGGATGAGCTACAAATGAGAGCGATGGCGGCGGCAGGTTGGCACGGTGCCATCCAGTCAGGGCTTGAGCGGGGGCGGGCATGGGCGAAGGGGCGAGGAGGATAAGAAAGGCAAAGAGAAGGAGACCTTTGTGTACTGCCACCCCGATGCCACCCTGGCACAGGCGCAACCGGGCGACGCCGACTAACTGGTGCGGCTGGCGAAGAAAAGGAAATCTGCCACTAGCTGGAGCGCAGATGTGAGTGAGGTGCCAGCGGGCGGCGGAGCCATCCACGGAT